AAAACCTACATCCAAAACAACTTTAAAGAAAGCCGCTAGCTGAGCCAGGCGGTGGTGGCGCACTCCTTTGATCCCAGCGCTCAGGAGGCAGAGGCGGCAGGTTTCTGTGAGTTCAAGGCCAGACTGGTCTATAAAGCTACACAGAAAAACCCTGTCTTGAAAAATTGGGGGGAAAAAAAGCTGCTAGCTGAGATGGTCCAGCCTCACAGATTACTCCAGTCCTACACTTCCCATCACACAGGGACAAAGCAATTGTCTAAGGGTCTCCTAGAGATGCTGTCACCCCTAGGAAGCAGTCTAGAAAACACAATGCCCATATTTGCAGTCTAGAGAACACAATGCCCATATTTGCAGTCTAGAGAACACAATGCCCATATTTGCAGTCTAGAGAACACAATGCCCATATTTGCAGTCTAGAGAACACAATGCCCATATTCCCAAGAGGTGGGATGGATGGTCGCTCATCATTCAGTGGATGCTTGTCTCATTTAAGGGGGGCTGATTGCAAGTTGTTTTTGGTCATGGTCAGGGAGGAAACTAAACAGAGGAGGTTAGATTCAGGGATCTTAAAAAAAAGAAAAAGGGCTAGGTGTTGGTGGCGCATGCCTTTAATCCCAGCACTTGGGAGGCAGAGGCAGGCGGATCTCTGTGAGTTCGAGGCCAGCCTGGTCTACAAAGCGAGTTCCAGGACAGCGTCCAAAACAATACAGAGAAACCCTGTCTCGAAAAACCAAAAAAAAAAAAAAAAAAAAAAAAAAAAAAAAGGGGGATATAGGAAAGGGTAGATTATTGAATCTACTTTAAAACAAACAGACACACAAAAACCTAACTACTAGTCTCAAATATTTCACATTGGTATGAATTTTTGTATAGTTACAAATTTAAAGTTGTTTTTGTTATTATATATATATGTTTCTACTCTTGTTGAAGGTATCATGCCTATGCAGCTTATTTTAAAATATAATATATAATTAAGAAATACAGGTTAGTATTTAGTCATCTGTAATAATCAATCTTATAGTCACATTAGATATGTTTTCAAGGTTAAGCCTAGATTTGTTTAGTACAGATATACTTAGTAGATAATGGTCCTCAAACCTGTCAGAGATCTGATGACTGTGGCATTTAAAATGTTTAATGGAGAAAGCATACTATGATTGACAGAGACTTCCAGATCCTAGCGGTGATCATGAGCTCTCCAAAGAAGATGATGGGGTACCACTGTGTCTCCACTTTGATTGTGGTAATGCTAACCACTGGGTAAGACTGCCCCAATGCAGCCATCCCTGTGACCAGGATCCAGCCCAAACTGTGGACAAGCAGGAAACTGGGGAACTGATTGCCCCACTTTGCCTAGACAAAGTAAGGTCAGTCTCTCCTATGTTCCTCCTTCACAGGAAAGTCTCTCACCTTCTGGGCCTGGCAGCTGAAGACTGATGCTGTCTTGGTACCTCTGCCCCCAATGCCACGGAAACCACAGGAGCCTGGGGTGGCCATCTAGGTGATGGAGTAGTCTCTGCCATCTAAATTGATACTAGGCCATTTGGATTATACTTCATGTTATATGCCATCTCTAGTGGCATTTAGGGCTAGGCTAGCTTTGTCAGCTTAGCAGCAGTCAGGTTCTTCCCCAAGGCCACAGCCAGATTGTTAGCTCATTTCATATCTAAAAATCTAGCCTTGCCTTTTCTATAGCTACTAGGTCTCCTACTGAGAAAAGGTAGACAGGTTTGTCTTGCCAACAGGCTTCATATTAAAAGATAAACAGGTTTCAGGAACATGATTTGAAATGGCTGTTCTCAGTAATAATTGCTTGTGTTTCTGGTAAATGATTAAATGAAAAGAAAGAATGTTAAAGTCTATGCAAGTTTTGAGGGTCTAAGAAAATTTTCTAAGGTATGTAAAGATGTGAGAGTTTATGTGTCAGGCAGCGGTGGTACTCACCCTCCCCCCCCCTTTTTTTTTTTGGTTTTTCGAGACAGGGTTTCTCTGTATTGTTTTGGAGCCTGTCTTGGAACTCACTTGGTAGACCAGGCTGGTCTCGAACTCACAGTGATCCGCCTGCCTCTGCCTCCTGAGTGCTGGGATTAAATGCATGCGCCACCAACGCCCGGCTGGTACTCACCCTTAATCCCGGCACTTGAGAGGCAGAGGCAGGGAGAGCTCTGTGAGTTCAAGGCCAGCCTGATCTACAAAGTTTTAGGATAGTCAGGACTGTCACACAGAGAGACCCCATCATGAAAAACCCAAAAATAAAAAATAAAAAGAGTTTATGTAAGTTCTGAGGGTCTAAGATGTAAAGTCCTGAGGATGTCAAAGTTTAAGTTCGTTCTGTAGGTCTCAGAAAATGATTTAAGTTGTAAAGTTATAAGTAAATGATTTAAGGTATATGAAAATGCAAGATGTTTCATATTTATTTGCCCTTTTATGCTGTTGTTACACTAAGATTTCAAAAGTTCAAAGTTTCAACATTGATCATCGGAGTTCTGATAAGCTGGTAGAGCACTGACTAGTCATTGTTCAGTCAGACGCTCAAGAGCTTCCATTTCTTTTGGTTGTCTTCTAAGTAAAGACTTAAACATGCTTCTCATTGGGCTAAATACATCTCTGTCGGTCTATATCTGGCTCCCTGGATGGAGGAAACAATGTTCATGCATCTAACCCAAATCTATAGTGTTTGCTAGGGCTCAAAGGTGTGAGTCTGTTTTACAGTCACATGCTACCTGCTTTTTCTACAGTGTAGATTTCAGTACAGAGTGGCGATGCTAATGTATCTAAAACTTTTATGTCTTTCTGTAAACTAAGAAATTCATATAAGCTTCAGAGAATCGGGGGAGTCATAAGATTTGGATCCCCTTCTCACAGGTCAAAAGGACTCTAGACAAACACAACCTAAGTTTTCCTACCTGTCTATCCCTGAGGATGGTATTCTCTCTCTCCTGGTCTTGGGACTCCTCCCCTTCCATAATTACTAGGACTATGGGCCTGAACATTCCAAATATAATATTTTCCTTTAAGTTCCTAAATTTTAACTTCTGTCCCTAGTCTACATCTGTCTCAGCAGGTTTCCACTTGGCCGGCAGACACATCCAAGCATCAGCTGCAGACTACAACCTATTCCAAACATCTGCTAGCCCTGGACTTGCTGAAAGCTGATGTGGACCAGTCTAGTCCATGTCATTGCTCCATGTGTCTTCAGCTGGGTAGTGAACCAGATGCTTCTGATGGAGGCCCCAGTAACTGAATTCCCTCCTTGTCTTTGCCTAGCATTCCAGTCTCCCTGGGCCATGACAACATGTCCTAGTTTCAGCTTAAAGTAGTTATAGAAGAGAGTGTAGGGGGCTGGAGAGATGGCTCAGAGGTTAAGAACACCTACTGCTCTTCCAGAGGTCCTGAGTTCAATTCCCAGCAACCACATGGTGGCTCACAACCACCCATAATGAGATCTGGTGCCCTCTTCTGGCCTGCAAACATACATGGAGGCAGAGTGTTGCATTCATAAATAAATCTTAAAAAAAAAAGAAGAGAGTGTATTGCCCCTTGTCCCCCAAAATGCTGTAATGATAGATCATAAGGAAACCCCCTGGCATAGGAGACAAAATAGCTACCTACAATGTCTATTGGCATCCTGGGAAAGGTATCTGTTAAAACCAAATAGACACAGATCTACCAAGTCATTAGCTGAAACAGTTCTATAGCGTGACAGGGCCCTCAGCCTGCTCTCTGTAAAACAGAGGGGTGATTGTGTAGCCTTAATGAATCATTAGAGATAACTTGGCTGTACTAAAAACAAATCATTGTGAAAAAGCTGACCTCAGATTAAGTGAATACCTGTCTCCATTCTCATTTTCTGGTTCCTTCTAGATATCAGGGATCACAGGGCCTTTGGCCCTTCTGTTTCTCCTAATTGCAGTTGGCTCCTGCATCATTGATGCCTTAACTAAGTGACAGTTCCTGAGTGGTTCCCATTAAACTGATGGTTCTTAGATCCCAACATAAAGAGGTACCCATTACAGAGTCAGGGATTTGACTCAGGATACAACTCAAGGGGGGGAGAGGGATGTGAGAGCCAAAGTTACATTTTAAGTTTTAATTACCATGCCATAGAGATCCAGGAAACAAAAATGCCTCTGATCAGCAAGCCGCTGGCCCAAAGACAGATAGCTCCTGAAATGCTGGAGGCTATTGTTTGTGGGCGATAACAAGCCACAAGTTTTCACTCCCCTCAGCGTTTGTTTGATGCATCTGCACCGGATGAGCTTGATCGCTGTGGAAATACGTCAGGATGTATGCTTGCCCTTGATTGAACCTGATGGGAAATGCAACGAATTACGGGGCTTCCTTCCCAAGCCCTTGCCATATTTAACTCTGGGTCATTTCCCAGGAACTTGGGTATGGACCTGGCCAGAGTCCATCCACCTGGCCAGTATTTAAAGCTTACTTCAAATTTATCTTTTTACTGTGGTAGTGGTCTTATTCTCGATCAGTGGGATTAACACCATGCCTAGATAATTTTTTTGTTAAACTCTACTTTTTTTATGTGCTTGAGTCTTTTGCCTACATGTATCTATGTGCATTCACCATGTGCATGCCTAGAGTCACCTACCCAGTCCAAATTGCTGCAGATACCCAGTACTGCAAAAATATTACCAAAACCATAGTAGGAGACACAACTTGGTTCACATCTCTGCTCTGTCACAAAGATGTGCGAGTATGTGCAGTTTTCTTAACTCTTTCTGCACCTAAAGTTTTCACTCCTCCAAAAAAAAAAAAAGAGGAGAAATAACACGGTTTTACCGTGTAAGGAACAAGTAAGACAAAGAACACGGTGTCTGGACCACAGTAAGTGCAGCTGCGGATCTACTGGGAGCGGGAAGCCAAGATAGGAGTTTACATGGTGACAGTCCCAGAAGTACACTAACGAACTTTTGGGCTCGCCAGGCGCATGCGCCCCGTCGGCGGTCGCGCACGTCCTGCGAGCGCTGTGCAAGCGACGGAAGTCACAGCCGGGAAGCCAGCGAGGTCGGTTCCGCCCGGCTCTAACATGGCGGCGCCCTTTGTCTGCCGCGAAGCGCTGTCCCGGGCCTTCTCGCGGCCGTGATGCACCTCCCTCTGTGGTGGGGTTCGGGACATGGCAGGTGAGGCTGGGCCAGCGCCGGCGGCCGCGGGGTCCCTGGAGGCGGGACGGAGGCGGCCGCGGGCGGGGACTTGGGACTCCGGGACGGTTGTGTGGGGGAGGGGAGGCCCCGGCGGAGGGCGCCGCGGGGCCGGGAGCCACAGGAGCGGCCCGGGGGGCTGACCGTGCACCCGCGCTGCCGAAGGGGCGCGAGTCGCCTCCGGGGGCTGGGTGACACCGCGGCTGGTGGCATCTCCGCCCCCGCCGCCGGGCTGTCACCGCCCCTTGACCCCGCGCGCCGGCCGGCTGCGGCGGGTGGGCGTGCTGCGGCCGCGTGGGGGCGAAGTGCGGGGCGGCGCGGGGCCGGCGCGGGCGGCCTGGGTGTGTTGCGGGAGAGCGGCGGGCACCGCCCCCACCAGAGACCATTCATTCATTCCCTCGTCCAGCCAGCCGTCCACCCCGTTTCCCTCCTTCTCTCCGCCCCTGACAGATCCGAGGACCGGGCAGTAGATGCCGGCGGACTAGCTCCGCTCGTGGGACCAGGGTTCCCTCTCCAAGCGGGAGACTCCGCCTCGGTTTCCTCGTCCTTGAAGCAGGGCTTATTGCTAAAACCTGTCTTCTAAGGGCGTGTGATATAAGGTTACATGAGGCAGTAGGCTTCAGAGGCGCTTACGGCTAGAGAGAGAGTGCCCGGAAAGTCCCTTGCTGTTACTTGTGTCATCGCCATTCAGAGAGCGAAGACTCACGTGGGAGAGAGAAACGGGCTTTTCAGATGTCACTGCGCTGCAGGACGGGAGCCTTACTCGGCGAATCCGGGAGTCCCATTCTTCCAGGAAGCTGAGCGTAAAGGATACTTAGGGGAGTGAGGCAGAAGGGCGGCATATCCTTAGCTGAAGGTGGTGTCCGTGAGAAAGCTCAAATTCCTCTTCCTCCAGCAGACGTGGGCAGTCAGAGCCTCTGCCTGAGTCTTTGGGACGTTGCCAAGTTCAGCACTTTTAACTTTTAGGTTAATGGGAAGGCATTTAAGAACCAGGTTTGTGGACAAGAAAGATTACTGGGCAAGGTGAAGAGTGAGACTGAAGTCAAGAGAATGCCAGACTGCCGGGTTGTGGTGGCGCACGCCTTTAATCCGGGCATTCGGGAGGCTGAGGCAGTCGGATCTCTGTGAGTTCAAGGCCAGCCTGGTCTACAGAGCAGAGTTCCAGGACACGCCCCCAAAAGCTGCAGAGAGAAACCCTGTCTCAAACAAGACTAATTTAAGTGAGTTGTAAGGGTGGCCTTGATTGGGGAGAGATACTTTTGGAGATAGAATTGATAAAACCTGGTGATAACTCCAGTGAGAAGGCACAGGATAGTTCCATTTCTTCTTAAAAGTGTGTGTAGGGGGTCAGAGGACAAGGTGTCAAGAGTTGATCTGGTTCTCATCCTCCCCCTCGTTGAGTCTGGCTCCCTCCTGTTTCTGGTGTATCGTGTATTACAGGCTAGCTACCCCAAGCATCTTGTCCTCTCTCCCCAGGAGAGCTGCATTGCAGGTGTGCTCCACTGCACTGTGGCTTCTGGGTAATCAAACTCAGGTTGTCAGGCTTGCACAGTAAAGCAAGCACTTTTGCCTGCTAAGCCAAGTCTTGCTACTGTCCCCTGTCCTTGGCTGGTGGATGTTGGCATTGCTCTCTTGGTGTGGTAGGAAGCAGGACAAGGAACACATTTAATAAGAGGAAAGCTTTAGTTTTAAATGAGCTGAAAATATGTTCCTGAAAAACAGTCAAGTAAGCCTGGGGTGGACAGTTCAGCTCGCCGTATAACCTGGGCTATATTGCAAATCCCAGGTCAGCCTGAACTGCGGAGTGAGGCCCTGTCTAAAAACAAAACAACAACCAATCAAAACCCTGCCTAAAATGTTAGGGTTCACCCACAGAGGTCACCTAGGTGAGGCTATGTATGGGATGAGAATCAGTGTTGTGGACATCTCAGGAAAGTCTGTGCGACACTCAGCTGGGCAGACCGTCGGCACTGGCTGGGCCTGTCTCCGAAAGGAGTTCTGAGTGTGGAGCCTGGGAGCCTGATCTTGCTTCCCTGGCCCAACATAGTCTTAGCTACAGCAGGTCAACAGTAATTCATCCTACCAGTCACTGAGGGCTTACTCTGCCCAGCTCTGTAGTGAGCTCTGCACTTGCCTGATTAGTGGGAGAGGAGGAGCTGGCCCTAGAGAGCCCGTGGTCCCCTCATGTCCTCACTGGGACTTATGCTTGGGTGTCTTTGATTCAGGTGATGTGCTGGAGGAGGGGAGCCGAGCTGGAGTTTCTACAGGCACACTGTCTGAAAAGAGAGCCCCCAGCTTCTTGGAGATCTGAGGTATGTCTGTAACACTGAAGGGTGGAAACTGTCTGCAGGAGACAGCTGTTTTGTTTTGTTTTCTAAAAGGCAGGGCTTCTGTGTGTCGCCTGACCAGGCTGGGCACAAACTCACAGACATCTGTCTGCCTCTGCTTCCTGAGTGCTGAGAATAAAGATGTGTGCCACCACTTCCCAGCTGAGATGACTTGTTTTTAGTTGTCTACACTCAGCATGGTTCAGATCACGGTTTCAATATTTTTTCTTTAAAAGTAATAATAAGCCCGGCGGTGGTGGCTCAAGCCTTTAGTCCCAGCACTCGGGAGGCAAAGGCAGTCGGATCTCTGTGAGTTCCAGACCAGCCTGGTCTACAGAGTGAGTTCCAGGACAGCCTCCAAAGCCACAGAGAAACCCTGTCTCAGAAAAAAAAAAGTAATAATAAAGTCAGTGCGGTGGTTCACACCTTTGGTTCTAGCACTTGGGGACTTAGAGGCAGGTGGATCTCTGAGTTTGAAGCCAGCTAGAGCTACATAGCAAGACTCTGATTCAAAAAATTTACTGGGGGGAAAAAAAACAAACTTGTTTTAGTTTTATTGTGAAATTGTGGATAAAACTTTATTTTCTTTTTTAAATAGCGTCTCAGTGGTTTTTGCTCTGTCATTCAGGCTGGCTTTGAACTCAGTAATCCTCCTAACCCTGCATCCCAAGTTCTAGGATTATTGTATGCGGGGGGGGGTAGGGGGGTTGTTTGCTGGTGTGTTTGTACCACATGCATGCCCAGTGGCCCACAGAGGTCAGAAGATGATATCAGATCCCCTGAAACTGGAGTTTCAGATGGTTGTGAACAATCATGTGCTGGGAATTGAGCTTAAGTCCTCTGCAAGAGCGGCCAGTGCTGCTAACCACTGAGCCATCTCTCCAGTTGGGAAAGAAATTCTTAATGTTCTTGTGGTTCATCAGTTTTTTCTTTTGTGAGTAGCAATTTTTGCTTAGTTAAAAGAACATCCTAATGGGTATGGTGTCCATCTGTAATCTCAGGATCAGTAGTTTGAGGCCATTTGGGGCTATAGAGTGAGTTCCGGACCCACCTGAGATGTCTGAGACCTTGTGGGGTGGGGGTAGGGTTATTTATTTCATCTTTGTTTTTAAAGCTGTTTCCCATATATTTAATACTCTCTCCCAAATGTCCATTACCTTAGTGTGTTCATAACGATTTCTTTTATAAAACACAAGGTCTGCTCTCTCATTTTTAGCAAGTATACTGCCTTGCCTCAGTGTCACTTATCAGAACTTACCAAACTTATCAAACATTGCTCCTTTCTTGTGTACTGTCATAGTAACTGTGACCATATAGTCAGCACCTACAGATATGTGACTGTCGTGGGCTTATTTGTCTGCCACCACACTAACTTGAGTTCCTGTAGTGTGATGGCCACTCTTGGTGTCTTTTTTTTTTTTTAAGATTTATTTATTTATTTATTACAAACACAACACCCTGCCTCCATGTACATCTACACACCAGAAGAGGGCACCAGCTCTCATTACAGATGGTTGCGAGCCACCATGTGGTTGCTGGGAATTGAACTCAGGACCTCTGGAAGAGCAGTCAGTGCTCTTAACCTCTGAGCCATCGCTCCAGCCCCACTCTTGGTGTCTTTAAGGCCTGGTCCCATCTTCATTTCAGGCCATACCTATCACAGGCTGTAAACACTGTTGAGATAGGGCTGGGCTGTAGCTCAGTTGGTACCATGCCTCCTAGCATTCACAGAGGCCCTGGTTTGATCTCCAGTTCTGCATTGGTGTTTTGCCATGGGTGTCAGGTCCTCTTGAAATGGAATTGTAGACAGTTGTAGCTGCCATATAGGTGCTGGGAATTGAACCCAGGTCCTCTGAAAGAGCAGTCAGTGCTCTTAACCACTGAGCCACCTCTTCAGCCACCATTTTGATTTTTTGAGACAGGGTTTCTCTGTATTGTTTTGGAGGCTGTCCTAGAACTCGATCTATAGACCAGGCTGGCCTCGAACTCACAGAGATCCGCCTGCCTCTGCCTCCCGAGTGCTGGGATTAAAGGCGTGCGCCACCAATGCCCGTCGTTCCATTTTGGTTTTTTTGTTTGTTTGTTTGTTTTGTTTTTTTTGTTTGTTTTTCGAGACAGGGTTTCTCTGTATTGTTTTGGAGGCTGTCCTGGAACTCGCTTTGTAGACCAGGCTGGCCTCGAACTCACAGAGATCCGCCTGTCTCTGCCTCCCGAGTGCCCATTTTGGTTTTTTAAGACAGGTTTTTCTGTATAGTCTTGGCTGTCCTGGAACTCATTCTGTAGACCAGGCCAACCTCAAACTCAGGGATCTCCTGCCTCTGTCTCTGTAGTGCTGGGATTAAAGGTGTGTACCACCACTACCTGGCTCCTGGTTTTTGTTTTTGAGACAGGATTTTGCTGTAGAGACCAGACTGTCCTTGAATTTAGTCCTCCTGCCTCAGCACCCCAAAGCACTGGGATTACACAGGTACATCACCATGGCCTGGGACTGTTGGAAACCCTAAGACAATGCTGTACTGAAGATTTAAAGTTAAAAAATCAGCCTGCTAACAGCTAGTAGAATACCTCATCTTGTCGTCACCCCGTGGTTTCTGTCCTATTTCAGGCACATGCCGTGGTGGTCTGCAGGCTCACGAACTGACTTGTTCATTTAACATTTATTAGATCTTAGCCCTAGAAAGGACCTTTTTACCCAGTCCTGATGGGGGAAACTCCAGGAAAGGTGAGCATGTGAAGAACATGTGTTATACTGGGGTGCACTAAGTCTTTGTATTCTTTTTCTTTTGAGACAGGCTTGCTTGTAGCTGAATTGACCTTGAACTCCTGTTCTCCTGTGTACACTCATGCTGAGAGTACAGGTGTGTACCGAATGCTCAGCATAAACGTCCTTCTTTTGAATAACTTTAGTGGTTTTTGTTTTTGTTTGTTTGTTTGTTTGTTTTGTTTGTTTTTGTTTTTGTTTTACCAGACAGGGTTTCTCTGTATTGTTTCGGAGGCTGTTGGTCCAGCCCGGCCTCGAACTCACAGAGATCTGCCTGCCTCTGCCTCCCGAGTGCTGGGATTAAAGGAATGCGCCACCACCGCCCGGCTAACATTAGTGTTTTTAATCACACGTTAATCATATATAGTAATGATTTCATTACTGCACTTCATACATGTACATAATATTTGATCATGTTTCTTCCATCACATTCTTGACATTCCCAATCCTGTTCTCCCCCTTCTTCTCAGCAAGTCCTTGAGTCCTTTCTCTATTTTCACACCCTTCTTCTCTCTTTTCTCTCTCCCTGCATGAGTCTAGTTAGGAGCTTACAGGAGCATGGATGAGGAGTTTTTACAGGAACATGGTGCTTTTTTCCTTCCCTAGGAGCCACTCGCTCCTTGTAGATCCTCTGGGAGGGGTGGCTCCTCCTCAGCCCCTGGGCCCCATCTCAGGATGTTGACAGGTCGTCTTGTGTAGGTCATCACAGCTGTGGGGAGTGCAGGAGTTAATTCCAGCCGTGTGGTGGTCCACAGCACTCACCCTCCCCATGAGGGTTGTCTGGTGCTTAGAAGAGTGGTGTAGGTGTCCCCTTTATGGCTGACTGGCTAAATTACGAGTCTCTGTGGTCACAGCTGCCCAATCACGGAAGAAATTTCGCTGGCCAGCGCTGACAGCAGCATTGGGCTCTGCACACTAACATAATTCTTCAGAAGGCAATCCCATGGGCATGTCATGTCCACTTAGAAAAATGACAGCTGTAGCCTCCCTGCTAGGGCCTGATCTTTTAGCCAGAAGCTTTGACCAGGTTGACAGTGCCAAGCATGAGTTAGTTCCCTTCTGTGGTGTATCACTCAAGTCACTCAGGAAGTTTTTGGTTACCCCATAACAGACTCACCACTGTTACGCCAGTGTGTAACCAGAACTTTCTGTCTTAGCCACCAGTCCTGCAGCTGCTTATAAAATAGTCAGAGGCTAATATTAACTATAATTGTTTGGCTATGGCTCAGGCTTATTACTGGCTAGCTTTTACATTTAAATTAACCATTTCTATTAATCTGTGTATCGCCACGTGGCTGTGGCTTGCTGGTAATGCTCTTGCATCTTACTCCTCTAGTGGCTTCTGGCATCCCCCTTGACTTTGCATTCTTTCTCCCTGCATCTCTGCTTGGATCCCACCTCTATATATTCTGCCCTGCAATAGGCGAGCTTTAGTCATCACCAATAAAAACAACACACATCCGCAGGGTACAGGAGGACACCACACACACACCAGCAGGCACTTGTCTGGTCAGTGAGTAGTGCACTCCATAGAGAGGCTGGGTAGGGCTGCTTTAACAGTTTTACCCCAGCTCTGCATAGCGCCTTCTGGCACCGTGAGGGGTAGCCAGCAGGGAGAAAGCTTTATCTCAGTTCCAGCTTGACTTCTCCTGGCTGCAGCCAGAGCAGGTGCTGTCTTCAGCAATGGGGTCTGACCATGTCATTTGTCTGGGCAGTAACAGCAGTGATTGTGTGTGTGATAGAATGCTGCTCGGCTCTAAGGACAATGAAATCCTAGAGCGCAGACAACCAGTGTCTTTCTCTGTGGGATGGTCATACTGTGGCCTTTGTCAGTAAAGCCTCTTTGCTTGTACAAGAAATGTGTCTTGTAGAAAGGAGGTGGCGACACTGCTGTGAGTCTCAAGCACTGAGGCCTTGGATTGCATCTGGTTGAGGAAAATGAGTCTCGCCGGATGGCGATGGTGGTGCACGCCTTTAATCCCAGCACTCGGGAGGCAGAGGCAGGCGGATCTCTGTGAGTTCGAGACCAGCCTGGTCTATAAGAGCTAGTTCCAGGACAGTCTCCAAAGCCACAGAGAAACCCTGTCTCGAAAAACCAAAAAAATAAAAGAAAGAAAATGAGTCTCTAGCAGTGGGTTCTCCTGGTTTCCTGGCTGTCACTGTTGTGGGGCAGTGGCCCCCAGTCTCCTGGCTGTCACTACAGCATGTTTTTACATGTAGTAATGACAGCATCCAACAGCAGCTTCACAAAGTAGAAGCCTCCACTGTTACCCTAGGTTTAGGGAAAGGAAGTAGAGGTTCCTGCTGCCCAAGGACCAGCTCTGCTCAATTTCAAGCCCCAGGCAGCAGCTAGGTCTAGGAACTGCGGTCTCAGCTATGGCAGGCAGCTCTTCACAGCATCAGGGGCTGTATCTGTGCCTGAAGCTGAGGGTGCCACTGCTCTAGGGATCCCTTCAGGGATTTCTGTTCCTAGAATTTTCCTAACACACTCTTTGTGAGAAAAGTTGTAATTTTCCATTTCCCTTATGAAATATTTTTTTCTTGAAGTTTTTAGTCACCAGGTCTTGTAGAAAGTAGAAATTGTCTTTTATTGTTATTTTGAGTCTCTCATGATAACTCAGGCTGGCCTTGAACTAGCAGCAATCCTCCAGCCTCTGCCTCCTGATGCGGTATCACAGGTGCATTCCACCACAGCCAGCTAGAGATGCCTTAGAGGTTTCATGATGCCTCTGGCCCTGAGGAAAATATCTCCCTCCCAACTCTTACTTCCTCCCTTCCTGTTTTAATTTTTAATGGATATTATTTATGAGTGGTAAAACAGAAAGGTTGTGGGTAACAACTGTTCCTGTGTGCCCTTTTGAGAGGAGCCCCTTCACTGTTTTTCCACATGCCCTGCAGGATGTGGGTGTCACTCTGAAGCCTCATTGTGAGTCAGCACAACAGTGCTTAGGACTGTGCTGAATGTCACTGGGGCTGTGAGCCCCTCAAGGGAGAAGCCCTTCACGCTTCTGTGGTATTCTGTGGGAGGCCCAGAGACTAAACCCTTCCAGTGCCGAATGGGGACATTAACTTTTTTTTTCAGGTCCCAACGGTCCAATTGAGAACGTCTTAATTTTGTCAGCTTTATTTTTTTATGAGGTAGGGCCTCATGTTGCCCAGGCTTGCCTGAAGCTCTGTGTAGCTAAGGATTTCGGGGTGTACCAACACTCAGAAGTTTGTGCATTGCTGGGCATTGGACCTGGAGCCTTGTGTGCGCTAAGCAAGCATGCAGTGTGTTTGTGTGTGTGCATGGGCCGTGATGTACATGTGAAGGTCAGGGGAATCAGCAGGTTGGCTCTGTCCTACCTTGTGAGTTGCAGGGATGGAGCTCAGGTCATCATGGTCCCGTCCTTTTTGTGTCCAGTACCTGCTCTCTTTATTGCTGCTGTCTTGTCTCTAGCTGTTCAGAGTAGAGGTTTTGGTTTTTCCATCGGCTCTTGTTCTTCCTCTTGTCAAGGAATGGCTCCCCCATGCCAGCCTCTCATGACAGAACTCTCATGTCATCCTCTGCTTCCCCCAGCCCCTTCTTCCTGTCACAGCCCACATCTACTTTGCCTCCAATTCAGAGATCCTCCTGCCTCTGCTTCCTGGGATTAAACGCATGTGCCATCATGCCCGCCAGCGCCTGCTCTGAATCAGAGCCCTGCTGCCGGCTTGTGAGGCCACGGGGAGGCCGCCTGCTCCACTCTTGCTTCCTTACAGATGCTTAGCTGCTAAGTGGTCCTTTCAGAGTACGGCCTGTTTTCAGTTCTCTAAGGCTTTTAAAGAAGTGTGTGTAGCTTGATGGCAAAGTGTTTGCCTTCCACGCATGAAGCCCCTGGTTCCACTGCCATATAAACCTAGTGTGGTGGCACACCAGCATTTGCGGGGTGGAGGCAGCAAGTTCATCCATCCACCAGTACATAACAGAGTTGAGCCCAGACAAGATAGGGGAGAAAGAAAGGGAGCCAGGGGGAGGCTTTGATTCTAAAGCCTGGCTTCCCTGACACCCTGGTGACAGCGTCTCCTGCAGTCCGGCCACCTGTGTGGTCCTTCACACAAGTCTCCTTCAGAGAAAGAGCATTGCACTTGCTCTTGGGCCCAGGGTTAAGGGCTTCTGGGTTTACAGTGGCACAGCTCTCTCTTGCACTTCTTTTTTTTTTAAGATTTATTTTTTTATTATATATGCAAACAAGCCAGAAGAGGGCATCAGATCTCATTACAGATGGTTGTGAGCCACCACGTGGTTGCTGGGAATTGAACTCAGGACCTCTGGAAGAGCAGCCAGTGCTCTTAACCACTGAGCCATCTCTCCAGCCCTCTCGCACTTCTTTCCGGTCTCTGCTTAAATTCTGCCTCCTCAGAGAGACCCTTGTTCCCTTTCTTGACTATCAGTTCTCTGTGTCTCTCCACAGCACTTGCTACAAGTCTATCTGCTATCATTGTTAGACTTCTTCCTCAGGAGGCCCAGTGCTTAGTGCTTTACCTCACATGGGTACAGAGAGCGGCTGTGAGACGTGGTGCTCTCTTCTCTGTGCCTAGTCAGATTGTGAGCTGTTGAGTCACCAGGTGTCACAATTACAGGGTTAGGTACCTGTACTGCCTGCTGACCTTCTGATTCCTGTGGAGACTGCCCATCCAGGATCATGGATGTTTCTCAAATGCTCATTTTAGTCTTAGTGTGTTCTGTGTTGCTATAACAGTACCACAGCCTGGGCAAGTTATAAACAGGTGTGTTTCTCATAGTTCTAGAGGCTGGGACATAAAATATCAAAATGCTAGCTTCTCTACTTGGGAGGTAGGAAGACCAGGAGTTCAAGGTCATCTTTGGCTACATCACAAATTCAAAGTCAGCTTGAGGATTGTGTCTCAAAAACCAAAACTGAACAAAAGGTGTCAGCATGTGGTCCAGGCCTTTGTGTTGTACTCTGCCTTGATGGGTATCAGAGGACAAGTAAGAACACAAAACAAAGCCTGCAATCCCAGCACTTGGGAGGTGGGGAGAAGGGTTGTGAGTCATGGTTAGCCTGTGCTACAGGGTGAGTATGAGGCCAGTTTGTGTTGGCTCAAGAAAAAAGAAAAAACAAAACATAAAAAAAACAGGCCAATAAATAATCAAGCTGGGCAGTGATGGCACACACCTTTAATCCCAGCACTCATGAGGCACAGCAGATAGATCTCTGTGAATTTGAGGCCAGCCTGGGCTACAGAATGAGTTCCGGGACAGCCAGGACTACACAGAGAAACCCTGTCTTGAAAAAGCAAAAACAAAAAATGAATTGACTTTTCATAATACAAATTACAAAAATCACTATGGATTCAGGACTGGTAGACTCAGTCAGAGTAGCACTGTCTGTGGAGGATGAGGCGTCCAAATCCGGGTGGTTCCAGGCAGATCTGGATGTTGTTTAAAAGTGGGAGAGCTGGGAACACAGCTCAGAGCTCAGTGTTAGGGCAGTTGGTCACCAAGTTTGTGCAAGGTCCCAGATTTGATCCCTACCACTGTCCCCTCTCATCACTGAAGGAGTATCTTTCTAGATTTTGTGTGTGTGTGTGTGTGTGGTGTGTGTGTGGTGTGTGTGTGTGCATGTACACGTCTTTTTTTTTTTTTTTTGGTTTTTCGAGACAGGGTTTCTCTGTGGCTTTGGAGGCTGTCCTGGAACTAGCTCTTGTAGACCAGGCTGGTCTCGAACTCAAAAAGATCCGCCTGCCTCTGCCTCCCGAGTGCTGGGATTAAAGGCGTGTGCAACCAACGCCCGGCCCCGCATGTACACGTCTTTACATATCAAGAGAAACTGCTAAAAAATGGAAGAAACACAGTCTCGCTACAAGGCAAGCATTGCTGGACAAGTAGCACTGTGCTAACAGGGCAGGTAATTGTTTTCTCTGCCAGGTTGTACCTGAAGAGACAAGTTGGTAGTGAGGTTGGGTGCATAGCTTTCAACCTCCCAGAGGTGGCCTGTTGTGAACTTTTATTTCCTTGGCCTGAGTATATGTATGTCTGTGAGCCACTTGTATTTCAGGATGATCAGGAAAGGTGAGTGGCACTCAGTGGTGATTTCTTTGTGTGGAAGCTGGAGCAGGCCCGTCTATTCTGGGAGCTAGCCAAGTGTGTCTGCCTGAGGGAGCATTGTTATGGCACCACCCCTTATGCTAGTCAGTGCCTGCCAGTAACTTGGGTCATGTTTCAGTGTGTAACAGGAGCCCATTGGCTTTGGGAGAAAGCTGCTTAGCTCCGGCATCCTGGGCAGGTAGCGCACACTAGAGCACCCTCAGGGTTTAACAGTGCAGTCGTTTGGTGTGAAGAGTCTCTCAGCAGAGAAAATCCATCCCAGTAGCTCTTTGCTCAGCATGTCCCCATGTGTGTCGTTCCTCCCCCAGTGTGTTACAGGGATTTTCCAGATGACATTGAGATGGGATGATGGGTTATGATTGGTGGGTCTAGTCACGTCCAGAGTGCCCAGGACAAGGATGTAGAGACCATGTGAATGAGGGCTTTGAGTGTAAAAGAGAGTAATTTAGAATATGTCTATCTGCTTCCTGCTAACAGATGGCTGCTGGGTGCGGGAGGCGTGTGCCTCTGACCTATTTGAGTTGATGTAACAGCCTGTAAAGAATGTGTGAGCCGCTTCACCACTGGAAGAGACTCTGGCCCCCTGGGTCTAAGTAGCAAACCTTAGATTCAGGTCTGGAGAATTCCTCCCTAGTCCTTGGTGCCCAGGGTGGCTGTGTGCTTGTTTGCAGGTGACCAGGGCATGGTGTTCTGGCTCTGTGACACCTGTCAGGTTGAAACAGCTCTAAATGCTGTTTCTTCATTGTTGGAGGAGCTTGCTGAGTTGAGCAGAGATCTCAGATCCTGAATGGTTTGGACTGAGGAGATACGCCAGTTCTCCTGGGTCCTACCTATATGTGCCTTTGTCAGGCTGTTACCTCCACTGAGGCCACTGTCCTGCCACTCCCCCAGGGCCTTAGGAAACGGTACAGAGTGACAAGCCTTTGCTGGGGGTCTATGTGACTGCCTATTTGTTTGTTTTATTAGAAACTTTGAACTTGCAGGGAGTTGGTGGTGCACACTTTTAACATGGCACTTGGGAGGCAAAGGAAGGTAGATCTTTGAGTTCTAAGCCAACCAGGGCTACACAGTGAGACCCTTTCTCAAAAAACAAAAACAAAACAAAAAAACCCAGCCAGGTGGTGGTGGTGCACGCCTTTAATCCCAGCATCGGGGAGGCAGAAACAGGTGAATCTGTGAGTTTGAGGCCAGCCTGATCTACAGAGTGAGTTCCAGGACAGCCAGAGCTACACAGGGAAACTCTGTCTCAAAAAATCAACAAAAAACCCCAGTTGTTCACTGATGGAGTCATGTGGGGGCGTGACACAACACCCCGGGGAGGAGACACTGCACAGCCCACAGAGCTCTGAGAAGTAGGTGCTTTTGAGGAACCGATGAGGAAAAGGGAGAGAATGTTGGACCATCCCAGACACAGGAAGGACGTGGGCTCCGCCAAGAGCAGCAGGTCCCACATGTGCAAAGCAAACAGGAGTGTTGTCTCCTTTCTGCACTCAAGAGGGGTTCCCTCTGGCCGTGGAGAAGGTGACTAGGACTCTTGGCTGCCCACAGCATTTCCACCTCAGAAGACAGCTCTAGCTCTAGGTCACCTCCTGCTTGGTGCCTTGGTGTGTGCACCCTTCAGCTCCTGGGCATCTCAGAAAGGGCTCCTAGCCCCAGACCTGGACATGGCTTCCTCTTGGTGTCTTGTGCTCTGAACAACGCTGAAAGTCTCCCTTTTATCCCTTCAGGTCACCAGTGGGAGTTTGCTCTTTCTGGGGTTTGAGGACTTAGAGCAACAGTTCTCAAACTGTGGGTCTCAACCCTTCTGGGATTAGGGGTGAATGACCCTTTCACAGGAGTCATGTAAGACCATTGGAAAATACGGATATTCACATTATGATTCATAACAGTAGCAAAATTAGTTATGAAGCACAATGAAAATATTTTTTTTTTTTTGGTTTTTCGAGACAAGGTTTCTCTGTGGCTTTGGAGGTTGCCCTGGAACTCGCTCTGTAGACCAGGCTGGCCTCGAACTCACAGAGATCCGCCTGCCTCTGCCTCCCAAGTGCTGGGATTAAAGGCATGTGCCACCAACGCCCGGCCAATGAAAATAATTTTATGGCTGGGGGTCACCACATGAGGATCTGTATTAAAGGGTTGAAGCATCAGGAATGTTGAGAAAGTGTTTCTCAAAGACATCCTCGGGGACAGGGCTGGGTCTCCAGCTTGAAGTTGTACTTGGCCTGATAGCACTGCGCCTTCCCCATTAGCTACTTCACCTTAGCTCAGTTAAGTACGTACTCCCCCCCCCCCATATTTTCTTGTTCTCTGAGACAGTGACTCATTGTAGCACCAATTCTCTTTGGTCTTAATAATAAAAACTCAGTCAGCTATTGGGTTGAAAGCTGAAGATCAGAGAAGCAGAGCGGCCAGCCCTAGAGTTCTTACCTCTAGCAATGCTGAGACCAAAGGGGTGATCCTGCCCTCAGACTGACTGCTCAGACTGCAGTGGGATCCTGTCTCCTCCTGCTTTATAGTCCTCTCTCTGCCCCGCCATATCCCTTCCCGTCTCTGTGACCCCAAATGCTGGGATTAAAGGTGTGAGCCACCACCACTTGGCTCTGTTTCTCTTTTAGGCTGGATCAATTTCGTATAGCCCAGGGTGGTCTTGAACTATCAGAGATCCATCTGCCTCTGTCTCCCAAGTGCTAGGATTAAAGGTGTGGCCACCACTGTCTGACTTCTACAGCTAACTAGTGTGGCTGCTGGGTTTAAAGGTGTGTGTCACAACTGCCTGGCCTCTATGGCTAACTAGTGTGGCTGGCTCTGCACTCTGATCTTTAGGCAAGCTTTGTTAGATCATAAACAAAATACCCTAATTCTTTTTATGTGACTGTCCTGGGCAGGAAAGCGACTTTGGGGAACTCTGCCCAGTACAGCCATACTGGCTGCTTCTGATACAGCTGGCTGTTCCTGGGTTTGGGTCCAGCAATGCAGTCAGCTCTATGTACTTTGGCCTCACACAGTTGGTGCCGGGTTTTGTTTTGAAATGTTCTGAAACACCTTGTTTCCCTAGAAGATTGCTGATCTTGCAAAGGCTTTGCAGTGGCGCTGGACAGGCAGAGACTACTTGGGTATTATCTCAACTCTGTCTGTGTAGTTCATAATTGGGCACCAGGCCAGGGCCTTCTCCAAGCACACTCCCTTGGGACAGGTGTGGGATTTCCAGGCATTAAGTGAGGCCCTTAACAGAGAGGCCGGCCCTGGCAGCTGGTGGATCAGGATTGGAGTCACTTCTCTCTCCTGAGAGAGTCACCGCTCAGAGGTTTCTGGAGGCAGCAGACCCAACTACTTTATGGAACTCCATAAGCCTAGGAGAGGGAGGGACAAAGCAAGGGTGGGGTATGAATGCCAGGATGGAGAGAGAGACAGAGACAGACAGACAGACAGACAGAGACCTAGTGAAATCCTCACCCTAAAGAACTCAGTTTGTGTGGACAAGGAGCTTGCCTGGAGCCTGTGGGAGCCGATTATGACAGAGCTGCCTGGACATAGAGCCCCAGAGCGGAGTATTTGCATTTATTCTAATAGTGTGTGCATTCTTTTTGTAGTATGTGGTATAGTTTGTGAGATAGTAATTGTTTCATGTGTATCTTCTCCATCTGGCTCCTTAGCTCATTACTTCGTGTGTTTTCTGCTTCGGGGGCAAGATATGAGGGCTCTCTTGGTACTTTTTGGTTTGGGGAACTTGCCCTGTTGAGTAAGCTTTGGGAGCTACTGGGCCCCCTTGGCTTGCAGCAAGTTTCTGGAATCATCTGCCTTTTGTGGTAGAAAAGCCTCTCCCTTTGTTAATGCTCCTCGGTTCCTCTGTGAGTCTCACCTGGGGCTTGGCAGTTGGCATTCTCTCTCGGTGCTGACAGGAGGCTCTGGCTTTCTGCAGCCATGGATTTCCCCCAGCACAGCCAGCGTGTCTTGGAGCAGCTGAACCAGCAGCGGCAACTGGGCCTTCTCTGTGACTGCACCTTTGTGGTAGACGGTGTTGACTTCAAGGCTCACAAGGCGGTGCTGGCAGCTTGCAGCGAATACTTCAAGATGCTCTTTGTGGACCAGAAGGACGTGGTACATCTGGACATCAGTAATGCGGCAGGTACCCTGTTGGGCTCAGAGCCTCATGTCATGCCAGGCCCCTGTAGGGCAGTGCCAGCCGGCTACTTCCCACTGAGTTTGAGTTCTGACCCCACAGGTACCAAGTCTGTCCCATCTTTTCTAACCAGGTGTGCAGTGATCAGGGACACAGGTTCACAGTACAACCAGGGCAGAGAGAGTAGGACCCTTGTTAGCAGGGAAAGAGCACGGCTGACCCTAGACCCTCCTTATCCCTTTCTGAGGCCAGATCAGTCCTGGGGATGATAGCCAGGCCGTGTCAAGAATAGTGAGGGGCTACTGGGGCCTGGGTTGAGGAAGGATGACCAGTTCTAGGTTTGTACTCCCATGCAGAGCCCTTGACCTGCTTTTGAGATGGTTAGGACAAGGTATTCTCTTATTTTATAGATGTGGCTGACGGTTAGGTAGACCATGCTGTCAGAGGGATGGGGTGTCCTATCCCCAGTTTATCATTTTAGAAGCTGTCCCTAGCCCAGCAGACAGGCGGTGGAGAAACCATTGGTAGGCCCTGAAGTGGGTCTGTGATGGCTGCCTTGTCCTTGACAGGCCTGGGCCAGGTGTTGGAGTTCATGTACACTGCTAAGCTGAGCCTTAGCCCCGAGAATGTGGATGATGTGCTGGCTGTGGCCAGCTTCCTCCAGATGCAGGATATTATCACAGCCTGCCATGCACTTAAGTCCCTTGCTGAGCCGAGCGGCAGCACTGGAGAAGATACAGAGGCCTCAGCTGTGGAAGGTAAGGGCACTGGCAGGTTGTTCCTGAAAATTAGTCAAGGAACTTGGCTTCTTATGGAGGCCCTGCCCGATTCTGGGTCACCTCACTGAGCCCTCATCTATGTTGCCATCACTGGCAAGGGTTGGCCAGGCACTCTGGAAAGGGTCCCCATGCCTGCCCTTCCTACCCTTGAGCAGCAGAGAGAGAGCGCAGGAGCCACACGTGAGTCACTAGATGCCCCGGGGCAGAGCTCCCGTAGCTGCCCTCCCAGAGCTCCCTGGCGCTCTGTAGTCCTGGAAGCTACAGACTCCCATCATGGACAAGGTTCTTTATGCTATCAGAGGATCGTGTCCCCCTCCTGCTGAGCACTCACACTCCAGCGTCTGCTGCCTGGGTGAGGTGACATCACTTGTGCTGTCACAGCTTCAGTGGTTGTGAAGTCAGCATCCTGGGGTAAGGTGTTCCCTGAAGTCCACAGAGGGACTTAGAGAGGCCACCTCATCCCTCTGGCAGTGGACACTTGATGGAAAATGACAAGTCTGTCCGGTTCTGTCTCCAGGAGGAGACAAGAGAGCCAAAGAAGAGAAGGCAGCTGCTACCGTGCTGAGCAGGCTGGACCCAGCGAGAAGCAGCCCGCACACAGGCCCAGGCAGAGAGCTCAAAGAGGAGCGGGGTGGCCAGGCAGAGAGCACAGCCAGTGGTGAGTTGTGGCTTGGTTCTCACAGGCTGGCCACCTGGAAGGAGGTGACGGACAGTTGGAAGTTGGTTCTGCCCGTCACCCGACAGCAGCCTGGGCCCCAGAGCAGTGACGGCTTTGTGGCTGGGAGGTGGGTGGCATGTGTTCCTGTACCTTTCTGGCTTATGTCTGGTTCAGACAGTCTGTTCTACAGGTCTGTTCCAGCTATGGAAGAGAGCGTTTTGGCCGCTGGACAGAGTCCCAATCCAGTCTCTCATCCCCCCCTCAGGTGCAGAGCAGACGGAGAAGGCCGATGCTCCTCGGGAGCCTCCCTCTGTGGAGCTCAAGCCAGACCCCACCAGTGGCATGGCTGCTGCAGAAGCTGAGGCCTTGTCAGACAGCTCAGAGCAAGGTGCCCCTCCCCCCAGCCAGGGCCGGCCTTGCCACACCCACCCCACTGCCCTTTTGGATTGCCCCTTCCCAAGCCTGTCCTGCGTGGCCATCATTCACTTGAGCCTTTTCTTTCTCGACTCTCGAGCTGTCTTAGTTACCCACCCCTCCGTGTTTCCTTTAGTCTGGAAGCATCCTGACGTAGCCCTGGGCATTACACAAGTGTGCCCTGCTTCCCACAACCAACCTCCCAACTTCTTGTTGGCTGAAAGTGCCACACACACCTGCCTGAGGCCTTACATTCTCCAAGTAGCAAATACTTAGGTTACAGACCCTGGGGTCACCTAAAGAAGGCGTTTGTCAAGTGGGGAGGGAGTTGGTTCGGTCAGACCAAGAAGGTACTCGGAGCCCAGCCAAGTCCCTCAGTGCCTGCTCTGTTCTGTGCAGAGATGGAAGTGGAGCCGGCTAGCAAAGGAGAAGAGGGGCCAGAGGAAGAGGGTGCAGGGCCTGCGGCGGTCAAGGAAGAGGGCGTGCATCTGGAGAACGGGGACACCCCTGAGGAGAACGAAGAGTCTGCAGGCACAGACTCTGGGCAGGAGCTTGGCATGGAGGGCCGGAACCTGCGCTCAGGCACCTATGGGGATCGTACCGAGTCCAAGGCTTATGGCTCCATCATCCACAAGTGCGAGGTGCGGGGCCGTGGGCGGGGCCAGCCCTGTGTCTCCAGGGTCGCTCCAGTCCCTCACGCATTCCTTCCTGCTGCGCCTGCAGGACTGCGGGAAGGAGTTCACGCACACAGGGAACTTCAAACGCCACATCCGCATCCACACGGGTGAGAAACCCTTCTCATGCCGGGAGTGCAGCAAGGCTTTCTCAGACCCCGCAGCATGCAAGGCCCATGAGAAGACACACAGGTACCCATCTTGCCCCCGCCCAGACTGGGGGCCTCCCTGGACCCTGCAAGACCCCTTCCTACCACCCAGCACCTTCTGCCCCACAGCCCGCTGAAACCCTACGGGTGTGAGGAGTGTGGCAAGAGCTACAGGCTCATCAGCCTGCTGAACCTGCACAAGAAGAGGCACTCGGGGGAGGCCCGCTACCGCTGCGGGGACTGTGGCAAGCTCTTCACGACTTCAGGCAACCTCAAGCGCCACCAGCTGGTGCACAGTGGCCAGAAGCCCTACCAGTGCGACTACTGCGGCCGCTCTTTCTCTGACCCCACCTCCAAGATGCGCCACCTGGAGACCCATGACACCAACAAGGAGCACAAGTGCCCGCACTGCGACAAGAAGTTTAACCAGGTGTGCGCCCCGCCCTGCGCCAGCGCTGGAGGGTCCTGCTAGTGAGTCCCCAGGGTTAGCACAGCCCAGCCCGTGTCTGGATGGGGCTCTCCTAGGATGAGCTCTGAAGGGCAAGCCCGCTTACAGGCTGTGCTGCATTCGCCTTTACTGCTAGGACCCTGGGCCTCAGTCGGGATGGGGCTCTGCCCATTTGAGAGACCAGAAAGTCCGTTATTTCCTGGCTCCAGGGGTTGGGCAGAAGCCAGGTTCCTAGGGGCCCCTTCTGAGCCCGTGTCTGGTGCAGGTGGGGAACCTGAAGGCCCACTTGAAGATCCACATTGCTGATGGCCCTCTCAAGTGCCGGGAGTGCGGGAAGCAGTTCACCACCTCAGGTAGGCCCAGAGCACCCTGGCTCCCCCACCCATGTCCCTCAGCCCCTCATGGTGCAGCACACCCGTCTCCCCCTTCTCCAAAGGGAACCTCAAGCGGCACCTGCGGATACACAGCGGGGAGAAGCCCTACGTTTGCACCCACTGTCAGCGGCAGTTTGCTGACCCGGGCGCGCTGCAGCGGCACGTACGGATCCACACGGGTGGGTGAGGAGGCCCTGTGTGGGCTGAGGTGTGGGCACGGGAGTCGAGTGGGTGCCAGTGCCTTGTGCCTCTGCCGCAGGTGAGAAGCCATGCCAGTGTGTGATGTGTGGCAAAGCCTTCACTCAGGCTAGCTCCCTCATCGCCCATGTGCGCCAGCACACCGGGGAGAAGCCCTACGTCTGTGAGCGCTGTGGCAAGAGGTAGTGGTCTGCCCCCACCCCGGGGAGCATGAGGCCAAGTCCCAGACTGTGTCCTAGAGTGGGCGGGGCGGGGCGGGGCGGGGGTACCAGGCTCCTCTGGGTGGGTCAACATGAGCCTCTTACGTGTGTGTGTGGCCCTTTAGATTCGTCCAGTCCAGCCAGTTGGCCAATCACATTCGCCACCATGACAACATCCGACCACACAAGTGCAGCGTGTGTAGCAAGGCCTTTGTGAACGTGGGGGACCTGTCCAAACACATAATCATCCACACTGGTGAGCATGCGCTGCCCGCCTGCTGTGCCCGTCTCTTCCCAGCCCAGTCTGCAGGAGACGGCTAGGGGTAGAGTAGGGAGCCCTGTGCCAACTTGCTTACAGGTAGCCTTGAAGTTCAGTTCAAATGTGGACTCCAGCTGCCTTGGGGCTTCCAGGAGGAGGGTGCTCTTGAGGCACCTGTCAGCACTGGCAGCTGCCAGAGAACTTACTAGAAAAGATGGGGCTGCTGGGCACTGGGAGGCCTGCAGGTGGCAGGGTGGTAACTCCCCTCCCCACCAGGAGAGAAGCCTTACCTGTGTGACAAGTGTGGCCGTGGTTTCAACCGGGTAGACAACCTGCGCTCTCATGTAAAGACCGTGCATCAGGGCAAGGCGGGCATCAAGATCCTGGAGCCAGAAGAGGGTGGTGAGGTCAGCGTGGTCACTGTGGACGACATGGTCACACTGGCTACTGAGGCTCTGGCAGCAACAGCAGTCACTCAGCTCACAGGTGTGGATGTAGGCAGCGGAGGGTAGCCACAGGCACCTTGCCTTGGTGGCGACGATGGGGTAGGTCCCTGTGGCTTCCGCCTTAGGCCCTGCTGACTCTGCCCACAGTGGTACCAGTGGGGGCTGCAGTGACAGCTGACGAGACGGAAGTGCTGAAAGCCGAGATCAGCAAGGCTGTCAAGCAGGTGCAGGAAGAAGGTGAGCGGGGAAGTCTGGGGCATGACCGCCAGTGGACCCAAGGTCCTTCCCATCCTGACCACAGCCCCCACCTCCACAGACCCCAACACGCACATCCTCTACGCCTGTGATTCCTGTGGGGACAAGTTCCTGGATGCCAACAGCCTGGCCCAGCATGTTCGGATTCACACAGCTCAGGCACTGGTCATGTTCCAGACAGATGCGGACTTCTACCAGCAGTATGGGCCGGGCAGCGCGTGGCCAGCCGGGCAGATGCTGCAGGCTGGAGAGCTGGTCTTCCGTCCCAGGGATGGGGCTGAGGGACATCCAACACTGGCAGAAACTCCGCCCACAGCTCCTGATTGCCCGCCACCTGCCGAGTGAGCAGGTGGCCCCTGACTGCTTATTTAAAGTGGATGGCACCCTGGGACTCAAGGTGCTCCTGCCCCATCCCTAGAGAATAAATTGGATTATTTTCTAATGTTACCTATGGTCCCTGTGTCCCCGTGGGTGGGTAACTCACCTACACAGCTGATACTGTAAAACGGTTAACACTACCTTCAGGGACCAGGCTTCCTGGGGCACTCTGCTGTTCATCATGGAAAGTAGAGCTCCATACTGTGTCTAAAATTATCCAGGGTGTAGGCAGCACCCTGTGACTGAGATGCAGCTCCCCCAACAGGGTGCGCAAAGCTTCAGAGACCCAGGCAGCTTAGTACCTTTATTTATCAGAGCAGCAGAGTTTAGACTACTGGCGGGCTTCTCAATAAACTAGGGCCTAGTCCCGCTTCACCGAGGCCACAGGGAGGCCATCCTGTGGCAACACTAACTTGCTGCAGGCTACCACCAGGCTGGCAAGGAGGAGGGAAGGGAGCAGCTAAAAGCTTTGACATTGGGATCCCAGCAGGCAGAGCTGTGGTGTTTCCCGAGGAGGAGCCCTACTGAACTGGACAGGACCTAATCTGTAGCTCCCAGGTCCGTAGCCCAGCTCTGGTGCCCCAACTCTTGTCTTGTCTTGAAGCAGGCATAGAATTAACAGCCCCAGGACTATTGGGCTCCTTGCTGCTACAAGGAACTACAACGCCCCAGAATGGGAGAACGCACCCTGCAGCAGGCCAAGTAGGAGCTTGCAAGCGGGGAGGGAAAGTAGGGACTTAATTATCACAATCTGAAGTGCCTTCCTTCCCATCGGCCTAGGAAACTATGGGATTCAAGCCTCAAGGACAAGGAGAAAGGCTCTGGGAGGCTTAGGGAGCCGGAAAGGGCCTTGCTCACAGACGTGGGTGGGAACTGCTACTGTTCCAGCAAGCCAGGAACCCATGGTTCCCACTTGAGCGACAAGCACATTCACACTTGAAGTGTTTTGTATTTTTTAATAAAGTTTGTAATCCAATGGACACACAACAAAACTGCGCTGAGAAAAACAGTTTCATAAATTAATAAGTGTTAGGAAGTCGGGGAGAGGTTCAAGTCATAGGAAGGGGGAGTTGGCCAGGTCTTTTGTACAGGTGCCGTGTGACACTTCCATGTCGCAGGAGCAGGACCCGTGCTGTAACGAAGCGCACTTATACAAATGAGTGACGGTACAAAGTCTGAGTATGAAAATAAGATTTTCTTTGAAAACACATTTTTTGGCACAGATTAAAAAAAATGTATGTCAGGGAAATTTGATTTAAGTCAGTATTATATATATTTATATATATTATATATTTATATATACATATCCCAAGTTCTGCACATCCGACCAAGAAAGAATCCTTCTGTTCGCTGTTACTCAACTGTAAACTGTACATCCTATGAGTTGAAGGTGGTAGCGGCGGCAGGAGAATTAAAAATGACTTCCGATGAGCCGTGGAAGAGAGGAGGAAGAGATGGGGCAAAAATACCCAATGAAATGTTCCTTGACACCAAGGCTTCAGCACAAGTCCCAAGTCCTGCGAGTCCGAGGTGTGCTCACGTACACGTGTCCAGAGCGTCACAGCCTGTGTGTGCCGTGCAGGTCACTAATTTAGTGCAAACGCTGGTTCTGTCCAACACAAAGACTCTTCCTACTGCCCTGTTCCTTTTCTCCAAACGAGGAAAGCCAGCCCCTAAGGTTTCTGTGAGGCCATGGTTGGTGGTCTGTCCTGGGGAGAATTTCATGTAAACATACAAGCAGCACCACCCCCAGAGGAGGTCTATCCACGGAGCCGGGTGGGCGTGAGAGCGAGGGCAGCTGGTGGCGCCTGGCAGTCTGCCCTCAGCAGCTTCCCCTCTGCCTGGCTGGGTTGTCCACAGTTCTGTTCTGTGTTCATCTTTCTGCAGCGGAGCCTCACACAGAGGCAATGACAATCATGAGGTGGGGAGAGATGTTGGAGATGCTGGCAAGGAGGTCGGGGGCCAGGCGGGAGAGGTGACTCTCAGAGAACTCACAGGGTGGGAAGATCTGCAGCACATAGGCGGGCTGGAGGAGTGAGAGAGAAAGTGGGACCCACTGTCTTCCATGACCCCCAATACTTGTAGCTGGCAGGCCCAGTCCCGTGTCCCGCCCCGTGTCTCTCCCCCTGCCAGTCAGGCTGCATATCAGGGCAAGGTGTCATCAGCTTGTATAGTTCAAGGTCAACATTCCCCCCTATCAGCTGTTTCCACCTCCTCTGTCCAGGATGGTTTACCCATGTTGGTGTGTGCCCACCTCCTCTGGGAACTCCTGGGTACTCTGGTTGGTACTAGAAATATTCATGCCACCAGGCTGGGCCAGACCCCCTGCCCTGACCTAAATGGTGTTAGCTGTGTGTACAAGTGTGGGGTAGTGGCGGGAGAGTAGACCCACCTGATTGGAGCCGGGGTTGGGAACGTTGATAATCCCTGCTGCCTGCTTGGCCTGCAGGTAAGTGATGAAGGCAGCCTTGAGGGACTCTGTCTGGCTTACCACATCCTCCTGGTCACGACCACAGGGCAGAGCCAGCAGCAGACAGTAGTCTGTTTCCACCTGGAGCAGAGGTGAGTGGTTAGGGATCTCCGACTAAACAGCATGTGTCCTACCAAAGGGGCCAGGCACCTCTGAGATGGCCATGTCACACCACACCAACATGGTCACTTCTGAGACTAGAGGGCATTTCTCTACCCAAATAGTTTGACCTTCAATGCCCATGTCAAGAGTTATCAAAGCCAGGGGTTAAGCCACTGAGGCCACCATGCCCTTCCTCCCTGTGGAGCCCTAAGTCTTACTGTCATCCTCCGGGCAACTCCTTCCAGCTGTGAGGCCTCTAGCCGCATCCTTTGGGCGATCCTCAGTGGGGGGCCACCTTCAGAGAGAGGCAGGGACCGATGGGCCAGGACATTATTGCCAGAAACGAAGTGAAGCTGCACAGCGGCTGTGTCGTTCTTGAGGGCCAGCAAGCCCTGCCACACGATGGGGTACTTCTGCTTACAGGAGACAAAGCAGAAATGGGGTCACGGCCATGGCCAGCAGGACCCTGGAGGCAGCTCAGCAGCCTATTGACTGAGACATTGGGGCACATTTAGGACACAACCAAGTCAGGGTGTCAAGAGCGCCTCTGCCCATCTTACCTTGAGAAGCTGGACCATATCCACAGGCCTCTGTGGTGTCAGGTGTGGAGAAGAATCTTGTTTGGGGGCTGACGGGGCTTCAGTGTGAGGCAGAGTCAGTCCAGGTGGGGTGCTTGTGCCTGAGGCCACAGGGACAAACAACGGTTGCTTTGGGGCAGCCTGAGAGGGAAGAGGGCTTGGGAGATCTGGCTTCATGGAGACTGACACGGGGGAGGGGTGGGTCGGCTGGCCTGTTTCCTCAGGCGGCCTGCTGGCAGGGACAGCTGAGAGGCGAGGCTGCTCCACTCCCCCTGTCTGAGTCCCCTTTGCTTCTTGGGAGACCTGGGGCATCTTGCTACTCAGTGGCTGGGAAGGCTGGTTGAGCTGGGAGGGCTGGGTAGGTGGGGCAGACGGCGCAGGCTGCGTGGACTGTGTAGCCGGGACAGATGGCGCAGGCTGCGTGGACTGCAAGGGCTCACCCTCAGGAGGGCCCTAGAGTTGGGAAGAAAGACAAAGAACAGTCAGGATGGGCTGTGCAAAAGCCCCGGCTCCCAAACAAGAACTCAATGGACCGTTGTCTCAGTCAGGCCACAGACGAAGTACAAGCCATAACAACAACATGTCCCAGGAAAAGGCCACCCAGCATGGCCCTTGTGGCCCTGCAGGCAGAAGCCCTCACTCATATCGTGTCTCCCCACATCCAAGAGCTGTGGTTCGGATCCGAGCCACTCCTTGCCCCTCTCCACCTCCAAGGCCTGCCTAGCTCGTCTGCACCGTGCTCACAATGCTTGCTCAAGGTTGTTTTTCACACCTCTCATTACTGTGTGTGTGTGTGAGTGCACGATGGGACACACAGGTGTGCTACTGTGGCCATGTCGAGGTCAGAGGACAACTCTGCACTTAGTCCTTTCCTTCTACTCTTGGAGGGTTCTGGGGACCAAACTTGGGGTGCCAGGCTCACACTTAAGCAGATGCCTTCACCCGCCGAGCCATCTTGCTGGCCGGCCTGTCTTTCTAACCCACAAAGCCCCCAAGTGTGCCCAGAAGGTAGGGAGGAGACCTGGCTTCCTCACCTGTGCAGAAGTCTTGGTCCTGGAGGGTAGACTGACGGAGGAGGCAACAGGAAACTGAGTGTGTGTGAGCTGAGCTGGGGCATGGTAGGTACGGATGTCTCCATACCTATATTCTTGGAACAGTTCACCGCTGGAGTGCACAATCTGCACCCCATGGGTTACAACCACAGGTGGGGTCAGAGGCAGCCCCTGAAGTTGGTTGCTGGGGGTGACTGTGAGGATTCGGGCTTCACCATGAGGGGTGGGGGCTGGGGTAGGCACAGGGCCAGGGGCTGGGGTCGGGGCAGGGACAGGGACAGGGACAGGGATTGCTTTGGCATCTGAAGTCTTAACGGTTTCTTTCACCAGCTGCTGGGGAGCCTTGTTGGCTGGTGGCACCTTCACTGCCCCCTCAGTGGCCCTAGGCTGGTCACTGACAGCAGTCACATGTGGGTGCACCATGATCCTCACGTCGCGGGGCACAGTGTACGGGTGCAGTCTGTACTCAGACTGCATGACCAGCACTTCTGACTGCACGGGGGCTGCAGCTCTAGCCACAGGAAGGTGATAGTGAACTTCTTCCTCGGGAGGGTGCTGGGTGGTCAGAGCAGGAACCCCAGCTGTGGCAGGCTGGGGTGTGCCCACACGCTGTGGGGCCCTTGCCTCTATCTGCTGGGGCTGCAGAGGGGCCCGAGGAGAGTGCAGAGTCTCTGGCCGGATGCTGTAGGTAATGCTGGGCAGTGTGGGTGTGTTCATTCTCACCTCCCCTTGTGAAAGGTGACCAAGGGACACGGTCTGAGTGATGCTGTGGGGTGGCATGATGACAGACTGCTCCGGGTGTATACTAGAGATAAACTGGGGCACGGGAATGCCTGCGGCCAGCATGACAGTGGCATTGGTGGACAG